GCCTTTTCTGGCTAGCTAGCTCCTTTCTTCTCATTGCTGAATAAGTATCCACTGTCTGGGTTTCCAAAGTTTGTTTTTCCATTCATCAACCGGAGGACACCTTTGTTGTTTCCGTGTTTGGGCAATTATGAATAAGTCGCTATAAAGTCTGCGGGCAGGTTTTTGTGTGAATGTAAATTTCCACTCATTGTGTAATGACAGTCCCCTCCTCTGTACGTACTTTAAAAACTTGTAGTAAAAAAAAAAAATTGACATAAAATTCACCTCTTTACCCATTTTTTAAGCGTCCCACTCAATGGCATAAGCACTTTAACACTATCATGGGCATAGGTTCCCCTTTAAAGTAATGGTATTCTAGAAAGACAGGAGCTTATGCAGGGAAGGGACAAGCCACAGCCTGGTGAGGAAGCAGGGGACAATGGTGCAGAATGACCTGAGGCCTGGGAATCTTGTACCTGCAGCTGCTGTCTCCGCACCCTGTCTGTTCCTTCCCAAAGGCTCCACCTATTCAGTGAGTTTCTCCACATCCTTCTCTTCCAGGACCCTGAACACATATTCCCAAAGCCTATTTGTGGCATTTCCTTGTTCTCTCCCCACCCAGGCCCACCTCTGGGTTGGGTTTGATGAAGAAAGCTTGGGAAGGTCTCTTCCTTCCTTCACATTTCTCTCACCTCTCTGCTGACCTCTCCTCCATAAAGCTGCACCAAAGAGCAGGACTAGTGTGCAGGAGGTTGGGGGAGGGGTGAGCCGCACCACTGTCAGAATAAAGGGAGTCTCAGGTAGCAGCAGGGTAAGTGCTTGTCCCTGAGTCTAGGTGACTAGAATTTTTGCCCAGACCCTTCCCTGAATCTCACCCTGTCCCTCAGTTTCCCAGGGTTCCCACAGACACACTCTGCCTTGCCTTCTCCTTGGTTCATTCACAGTGACCAAAATCAGCTGTGGCCCTTGGAGTTTTCCTGCCCACATGCCCACCCCCAGGAGGAGGGTGGCTGTGGGCTCAGCATCTTGCCACAGTATCAGCTGTTACTAAGAGGCCTTGGTGGGGCTGGGATTGTGGCTCAGTGCAGCATGCTTGCCTTGCATGTGTGAGGCACTGGGTTCGATCCTCAGCACCACATAAAAATAAATAAAAGTATTGTGTCTATCTACAACTAAAAAAATATTTAAAAAAAAAAGATGCCTCTGTGTGTTGTGAGCACAGGACAGGCTGCAGAGGTGGCTGGTGGCCATGGGACCTGGGGTCTGGATGCAGGCTCCCTCTCTGCAGCCTCCCACCCTGCAGCCTCCCACCCTGCAGCCTCAGCCTTCTTGTCACCTACAGGAGCACGTGGTGCTGGCCCTCAGCTCCCCTGGCAGGTCCTGCCTCAGGACCCTTCAACGGTATCTCCTCTGCTCATCTTCTGGTCCTCCTGGGCCCCTCGTGGGTGCTTGGGAAGGCACTGTGGGGCAGCACTCTGTGGGTAGCCTCCAACCCTTTTGCAGGGACTGGAGTGTGGAGAGTGCTGGCCCTGTTCTTGTGGGCTGCTGGGGACTGCTCCCAGAGACCTCTCCCTCTGCTCCCCTTGGGGCGCAGGGGAAGCGCCCCTCCCTTCCCTCTCTGCTCCTCCCTTCACTTCCCCGCCGGCCTCTCGGAGCCTGGGCATCAGAAGAACTGGCTGCGGTCCATCAGGTTTCCTTCCTCAGGCTCCTCTGCTTGCCACAGGGACTCCAGCAGCCCCGCCCATCCGTCCCCTCAGTCAGTTTCGGAGCCCACTGTGGGCAGCCTTTAGGGCTCTGGCACTTTTCAGGCCCTCCGTGGTCAGGTGGGACTGCCAGGACGGGTACCTACTGGGGCCCTCCCCTCCCCTCCCCTGTGGGACCAGCCCCAGCTGCCCAGGTGGGGGTCTGTGGCACACTTGGAGCTGGCCTTCCCCACTCCCCTACTTCCCGGGGTCCCTTCCCCCAAGAATGGAATCCCTTTCTCAGGAATCCAACCTGAGACTCATCCTTTCCCAGAGGTGATGGAGACTGGTGCAGTGATTGACAGGGGAAGAGACAGGGGTAGGAGGAACATAGGGTGGGGGAGGATCCATTATTTAATAGTTCAAAATATTATGGCGTGTTATTGAACACTCAAATAAATTGAGAACTTATCCTGTGCCGGGCACAGCGCTCCGGGTTTTCACATGAATGATTTCATCTGATCTTCCCAGTGGCTCAGCCCTACTGACATGGTTCTTAGAGCCAAGGAAGCTCTTTGTTCCTCAGCCTGTAGAAAGGGCAGCATCCCAGGGAAAACTTTATCCCATTCCATCAGCTCTGCCGAGTCTGGTAGCCATCTACTAATGTCTGAAGATCTTTTCTAAATCTTTTCTTCAAAATTTATAAGCTCTCCAGTCTTTTGAGGCCACGTGTTCTTGCAGGTGATATGGTGCCATGAGATCCCCAACACTGGGCAGAGGTCCATGGGAGGGACAGAGAATGGGTGCTGTTCAAACCACCCAGTCTAGGATGTTTTTGTGACAGAAGTCCAAAGTACTTGCTTTCCTGACCACTTTTATCTGATAGAGGGAGTACCTTTTAAAATGTTTGTATTCAAACAGGACCTTTTTCTATTGAGGCAAACCTCACATGACCTTAGATCCACCCTCTAACTATCTTAGAGTGCACCACTCAGTTGCATTTAGTTATATACAGAGTTTTGTGCAACTACCACATCTACCTCGTTCCTAGTTTCATCACCCTTAAAGGAAACCCTCTACCCACTTAAGTGGTCTCTCCTCATTCTTCCCATCCTCTGGCAACAACTGTGATTTGTTTTCTGTTCCTAAATATTTTCTGATTCTGTTTTTCTTTTTTTTAACTTAGGCTCACACTGCATGTGGCCTTCCATTTTCTTCACTGGACGTTTCAAGCTCCCTCCTTGCAGCAGGTGTCACTTTTGTCCTGTGGCCGAGTGACACTCTGCTGCATCTGACCTGCCCACTCCTCAATTGATGGATGCCGTGACACTTTTCCCCTGCGTGTGGAGTGGAGCTACCAGGAGCGGGCACTCTGAACAAGCTTTGTTTTGAATGCCTGTTTCTGATTCTTTGGGGCGAACACGTTGGAGCGGAGATGCTGGGTCACGTGGAAGCTCTGTTTAGCTTTTTCAGGGACTGCCAAACCCGTGTTCCTCAGCAGCGATGGCATTTGATGGCCTTTGGCAGCGTTTGGGATTCCCATTTCTCCAAATCTATACCAACACTTGAATTTGCACAGGGCTATTTTTCTATTTTCGGTTTATGGTTATTACTAGTCACGCTAATTGGTGTAGAGTTATATCGGACTGTGGTTTTGTTTTTATTTCCCTAATGACTAATGATATTCAGCATCTTTTCCTGTGCTCTTGGGACAATTGTGTATCTTTCTTGGAGAAACGTCTGTTCCAATCCTTCGCTAATTTTACAATTGGGTCATTTGTCCTTTTGTGGCCGAGTTTTTTATACATTCTTTATGTATATGAGAGTTCTTTATACATTCTGCCAATATCAGATGGATGATCTGCAAATATTTTCTCTCATTCTGTATCTTTTCACTTTCTTGATATTGTCCTTAATTTTGAATCAAATTTACCAAGTTTTTTCTTTTGCTGCTTGTGGTTTAGGCTCTATCTTAGAAACCTGTTGCTAGATCTAAAATCAAGATTTTACCCTGTCTTCTCTTCAGAGTCTTATAGTTTGAGATCTTTCTTTAGGCCTATGATCCATTTTGAATGAATCTTTGCATATGGCCCCAGGTGGAGGTGACTTTGCTCTTTCGCATGTAGACACCCAGTGGTAGTATCTTTCTTGTTAATAGAATTCACCTAGTTGTAAGCTTATATAATTTGGCTTCTAATTAGGGCTGTGTTTGACAACTGGCTTGCAAGATCTCTGAAAAATGAACCACTGACTCTGTTGAGCTCATGCTGGTGTTAGCTGGCCCACCCAGTGGCCATGTCCAACACATGTTGCTCAGATAATCTTCCTCGTAAAGGCTGGAATTGGGAGGTTTTCTTGAGGAGCTGAGCTGGAGATCGAGTGCTTGTGGGGCTCCCGGGGAGTAGAGTGCCCCTCGAGCATCCTCCAGCCACCATCCCTGTACACCTAGCTTTCCCTCGGTGGTTTAAGAGCAGAGTTAGCCCCTCTGATTCCTTTCCCTGGTGTTTGCTCAGCTGCTCCTTCTGCTTAGAGGGAGTTGATTCTGTCCCATCTGGATCTCGAAGGGTTTTGGAAGCTCCCTCCACCTTTTAGCCTTTTCGGGAGGCTGAGGAGTGCTCCTTTTCCCGGCATGTTGCCAGGTCAAACACAGGGTGCCCAGTTATGTTTGAATTTCAGGTCAACAGTCCAATTTTCAGTACAAGCATGAACCATGGAGATACTTACACTAAGAGTAATTCTCAGGCATATTTGGGACATACTCATTATGCATTGTTCACCTGAAATTCAAATATAACTGAGAGTCCTATGCTTCTGTTTGGGAGATCTGGCAAGCCTCCACGATGGCCCACTTTTCTCCTTGTTGTCTTCATCTTATATCAAAGGCTCAGAGCCCCTGTGGGGGAAGGGCCTGATTGCCCGTCCATTTTACAGATCTGGAAATTGAGCCCTGGGTAAGTCACGCAACTTAATGACTGTGGATGTCGAGGACCTTGACTTCTCTCTCATGAAACTGGCTCATTTTCCGAGTGTCTCCTCTGTGTGGACACTGTGCCAGTGCCAGGGGGTGATGGTGACCAGCCACCATGGGCCTAAAGAGGGCAAAAATTGGGGGTCCCTTGGGAAATGTTAAATAAGATCCAGGCTTCAGAGATACCAGGTTGATGACCCCTGTGCCATGTGTTGGTGGCATGATGGGACTGCTCTTTCCTACCAGGGGACAAGAGTACTTGGGGACTGTGGTCAGGGTTCAAAGGGGTAAGAAATGCCCGTGGGGTTAGGGAGGGCTTACTGATGGAGAGAAGAGAGGTTCCCATGGTAAAGTGTGGTTGTCACCCACAGGTTGCCCAACATCCCGGCCCACTCAGAGATGTGGAATGGAGGCTCCAGAGTCCAACTGTTCTGCCCCAGCTGCCAGGGACCAGCCAGCTCCTGCACCTGGGCCCCCAGGGCCCCCAGCTGGGCAGGCCTCACCTCACCTGACTCTGAGTCCTGTCATCTTGCCACCAGAGCAGGGCCTGCCCTCCACCGTGCTCCTGAAGGCCCTCCCCATTCCACTGTACCACACGGTGCCTCCTGGAGGCCTCCAGCCACGAGCCCCTCTAGTGACAGGCAGCCTGGATGGGAGCAGTGTGCCCTTCATCCTCAGTCCCCTGCTCCAGCCTGAAGGGCCTGGCCCCACCCAGGCAGGCAAGCCAGCTGCCCCAACACTGACAGTGAACATTGTGGGTGCCCTGCCTGTCCTGTCCCCAGGCCTGGGGCCCACACTGGGCAGCCCAGGAAAGTCACGGAATGCTGGCAGGTACCTCTGCCCACACTGTGGCCGGGACTGCCTGAAGCCCAGTGTTTTGGAGAAGCACATCAGGTCCCACACGGGTGAGAGGCCCTTCCCGTGTGCCACCTGCCATATCGCCTTCAAGACCCAGAGTAACCTCTATAAGCACAGGCGGACACAGACTCATCTCAACAACTCCCGGCTATCCCTGGAGTCTGACGGGGGTGGGAGCAGCCTCCCAGAGGAGGGGGACAGGGTTGGAGATCTCTCCACAGCAGATGGCAGCGGGGAGAGTCGGAACCAGAGGATGGGTGAAGGAGCACCAGAGACACCCCTCTCCCCAGATGCCCCTCTGTCCCTTGTTGCCAAGAACCAAGGTGTGAAGGCGGAAGCTGCTTCCTGTCCAGGGTCCACACTTGCCCACAGAGAGACCTCTCTGGACTCCACCCAGATGGCGTCACCTGGGATCTTGCTGGCCAGCATGCAGCCCCCGCGGAAGCTGCCAGAACTGAAGTCGTGCTCCCTGCAACGGCAGCAGGAGGCTTCCTCCGAGAAGCCCTGGGAAGCCAAGGTCCCGGAGGGCCGACTGAGGAAGTGCGAGAGTACCGATTCAGGCTACCTGTCCCGCTCGGACAGTGCCGAGCAGCCGCCTGTCCCCTCCAGCCCCTTGCACAGCCTGTCGGAGCACAGCGCCGAGTCCGAGGGGGAGGGAGGCCTGGGCACGGGGTCTGGGGGCACCAGGGCTGAGCCGGGAGTGCCAGGGAGCAGCCTGGAGCTGGAGAAGAAGCGGCTGGAGGAGCGCATCGCCCAGCTCATCTCGCACAACCAGGCTGTGGTGGACGACCCCCAGCTGGACCACGTGCGGCCCCGCAAGACCGTCCTGTCCAAGCAGGGCAGCATTGACCTGCCCATGCCCTACACCTACAAGGACTCCTTCCACTTTGATATTCGGGCCCTGGAGCCTGGCCGCAGGAGGGCGGCCCTCAGCCCCGCCCACTCTACCTTCACCCCTCTGGACAAGTTACGGCCCCTGTTCTTCCACTCTGTCCCCACTCAGCTGTCCACCACTGTGGAATATGTCCCCATCACGAGGAGCAATTCACTGCCTTTTGTTGAGGGCTCCAGGACATGGCCGGAGCCGCGGGCCCTGAAGGATGCCTGCCCCAGGACACAGAAGCCCCTGAGCCCCAGGCCCACCCCAGCCCGGCTGGGCTGCCGCTCTGGGCTGACCTTGGCAGATGTCCCCAGTGGCCACCCCCGGGCCCTGGTCAGACAGGCTGCCGTGGAAGACGTGCCATGTGCCCTTGCTGGAGACACCCCGGCCCTCACGGAGGACCCTGGTGGAAAGAGAACCGTCACGGCGGCAGGGGCAAGCTGGAAGGGCAGAGCGACCAGTAAGAAGGGTGGCCAGCGGAAGCTGAAGATGTTCTCCCAGGAGAAGTGGCAGATGTATGGGCACGAGACGTTCAGGAAGCTCTACCAGAAAGTGAAAAGCAGCCACCAGGGAGGCCAGAAAGCCAGGGAGGTGAGAGTGGGCTGTGGGACAGACCCGGCCCTTCCTGCCCAGGAGGAGGCAGTGGGGGGTGAGAGCACAGTTCCATCCCAAGATAGCAGGACTCCCATCCTTGAGGGCATTTCTGCAGAGGCCAAGCCAGAGTCTCGGGGAAGTCTGCCAGCCCCTGAGGGCTCCTTGGAGACTGAGCCTCCTAAGCAGAGAAAGGCAGAAGCCAGAGTAGGAGGCAGTGACCAGCCCAGGGCAGCGTCTTCCCCAACCCTCAGTAGCAGAGGATCACCCCATTCAGGCAACAGGAGCCCTCTGCTTCCTCCAAATGAGGGGCCAGAAACAGGATGGCAGCTGCCTCCAGCACCTGGGCCACTCCAAGGAGGTGACCTAGGAGTGCCCAGGCTGGCTTTGCCAGCTTCCAAAGTGGAAGGGGGCATTCCGGGTGCGGGAGGCATGCAGGAGACTGGTCCTTGCACCCAACTTGTCCTGAGACGGCCCAGTGGTAACTCTGGGGAGCCCTGGCCTGCAGAGGACAAGCATCCCTCAGAAAGGAAGAAGCTGAAGGTGGATGAGCAGGGGCCCCTGGAGCAGCCAGGACCCCTGGGAGCAGAGACCCCTGGTGGTCCCGTGCAGGCTTCCTCTGTGCCATGTCAGAAGCAGGATGGTGACCATGGGGAGATGCCAGGGGGGACACATGGGAGTGCCCATCTGGTGGCTGAAGCCCTGGACTCTTCTGATGCCTCCTCAACTGCTCCTGTTGCTTCCCCAAGCTGGGCAGGGCCAGGGGACAAGGAGCCCACATCGCTTGCTGCTGCTAAGGACCGGCGCCACCACTCCCAGCTGGGTACTCCACCTCAGGCTCCTGGTGTCCTTGCTGCTCTGGCAGAGGGCGCCTTTCCCCCCAAGTACCTTCTTAAGGTACCTCAGGGAGAGATCCCCTCGGCACTGCTTGCCACCCAGAGGCCACAGCAGGGTCAAGACTCTCTCTGCACAATTGGGCCACCTGAGGAACAAGCATCCCTTGTTGGACCAGGACTGGGGACACCCTGGTCCCTCAGCACAGGCTCAGGCCCAACCTCAGGTGGGGCAGATGGCATTCTGGAGCACCCCAGCTGGTCCAGGCCAAGAGATGGAGGACAAGAGTCTCAGATGGGAAGGGAGAAGAGAGAAGGGACAGACAGCAGAGTGCCAGCAGCCAGGGAATCTCCTGGCTCAACCACAGGGCCCCCCTGGGAAATGACCTCCTTCCCGGACACCCCCTCGTGTGATGCCCACGTGGCCCAGGATGCAGGAAGTGAGGTGCACGCCATTCATCGTCTTTGCATGGGCAGTACATTGGCAAGGTCCAGGACATCTGAGGGTGTCCTGAATCTGTGGACTCCCAGTGAGGACCTGGGGGGCCCTCATGAGCATGCCCCAGAAGGCCTTTCTTCAGAGCCACCGGCACTACGCACCCCCTGCTGCTCCCTGCAGCCTGGTTCCTTCCTCAGGGCTCTCACCAGGCCCCAGGGTATGTCTCTGAGCCAGCCAGAAGGGGCCCTGTCACTTCACTTAGGGACGCCCAGGAGCTGTGGGGCCCAGAGCCCCTTCCCCTCGCTGAGAGCTGAGCCCCGGCTCACATGGTGCTGCTTGAGCCGCAGCCTGCCTCTGCCCATGGAGCAGAAGGAGAAGGCCGCTTCAGTGTACCAGGCTCTCCACTTCCCTGGGGGCAGGCTCCAAGATGCAGGTCCTGACGCCCTGCCCGTGAGCAACCGAGGAAGGACCAGGAGGAGCCCTGGAGGAGGAGAGCTGGTGCAGACACCTCAGGTAACTCCCAGTTTCACCCTGGGCTGGGGGCTGACGGCATGCTCCATAGACAGGGTCTCTAAAGAGAAGGGTGGGGGTGAAGCAGGCCCTGTCCCTCCTGCAGCAGCGCTGTCCATGATAATATCTTGGCCTGCTCCCAAGGGAGGTGGGGCTGCCACATACAGGGCAGGAAAGAATAAAGCCCCCAGTGCAAGCAAAACAAAAGAAAGTCATAAAAAGATAAATTTCAAAGTGAAGAACCACTATACTGGAGACTGCAGGCTTGCAGCCAGCTCTCCTGCCTTCTGGGTGGAGCCTGGGGTGGGGGGTGGCATCTTTGTCACCCTGAGGGTGCAGATCAAGGAGAAACATGTTGGAACTGAGGAGATCCAAGGTCCAGTCTGGCTCTTCTCCTTCCCATCGGTGTGAGGGTCCTGAGGAGAGGGACTCAGGAGGGAAATGGGCCCTGGTGGCCCCAGGCTCCATGTGAAGCTGGACTTTCCTCTGTGGAGTCAGCCCCGGTGGGTTCTGGAAGATGTGTTCAGGCACACCCTGCCATCACCTTGTTGAGTCCCCATATAAGTTAGGCCATTTGTCCATGTAGCATTTCTGTGTTTCATGTCCATGGACAGACGTCCATCTGCAGAGAGAACCCCTGAGGGCTGCCCATCACGAGGGCTTTGAGTAATGTCATGCCAACATGCCTGGTATTTTCAGCTCTCCAACCCAATAGTCCCAGGGATGAGGTCCCAGGACCAGCCATCTGATCCAGAAAGGAAGAAAGGACTGTTTCGCAGGAGGGTGAAGACATTTCGTGGGAACAGCAAGCAGAAAAGGCTGAAGATCAACCCCAAAAGGTAGGACTGGGGCCTCCTCCATGCTTTCCGCACACACCCGAAGTACAACACAGTTAAGCTCAAGGAGAACTTGACATGGGACTCAGAGAGCATCTCTGTGCTCTGAGAAAGAGCTCCAGCTTCACAGGGCATGGAGCTGCACAGTTGAAGGACTGAGTTGTCCTCCCAGCAGCCCATATACTTTGCCATCTGTATGGTTTTCAGTGGTGACTTTCTAAGACCAGGAATATAGCAAATATCTGAGATAACTGGGTTGGATACACTTCCATCCAATTTAAGTCCTGAAGAGAAAGCATGTTAATTATTTATAGCTTTTATTGCTTTCTAAAAAATTATGCAAACAATGTATGGCCTTTGCAGAAAAATTAGAAAATAAAGATAAGCAAAGGGAAGACAATAAAACAACCTAGTTTTCTGCCCTGGGAGCTAATTGCTGCTCATGTTTGGGAGTATGCCCCCAGCCTTCTCTTTGAGGCATATCCGTGCACACACCCACCAATGCAAGCCCAAGGATGGCAGGTTCTAAGACCACTCTTCCCTCATCTCATTATTTGGTCATCTTGCTCCTTTGCTCAAAATCCTTCCCATTCCATACAAGGTAAAAAGAAAGCTCTCTGCCAACCCCAATCCCCTACTATGTCCACCCCCTGAGCCTTCCTGGGCTCATTGCCCCATGATCTCCTTTTCTCCCATTCCATGTGACCAGGTTGACCTCTGCCCTTACTTATTCTCGAAGCCACCCTCTGAACCAGGACCCTAATATCTGTATGACAGGTCCCTCCCTTGAATGCTCTGGGCCTTCTCTGATCTAACCAAACCCAACCCCCAGTCTATGTGCTCCTCAGCGGTGACTCCAGCTCCTAACTCTCCCCCATTTCTGCTGGAACCCTCAGAGGCTGGAGTGCTCAACTCCTTCCAGTCATCTGCAGGACCACGAACTGGAGCTGATCCAGGCACAGTGGCTCTGTGCACTCATGCCTTCTCCCTAGTCCTCCTCGCCACACCCCGAACTCTAGGAGACAGGCTCATCATTAGCCTCACTTTCTCAAGAGGAAACCACGACTCAGAGAGGTCTGATTTGAGCTTGCCAGTTGCCTGTTTTCTGGAATTTTCTTGCAGTGCTAAGTAGAACCCAACAGCTCTGGGGAGGGCCTCAGATTCTCTGTTGCTAAAGGGTGATGAAGGTGACACCGTCCCTGGAGCCTGCTAAGAGGATGGAATCTCCATGCTATGCCAATTCACGTCCTGTCCTCCCCAATGTCCATCATTTTTTGGACACATCCTTTATTCCATGGGTCATTCAGGCTCTTGTGATAGAAGCCCAAATCAGAGTGGCCCAAACAACAGAAGGCCCATTGCCTTGTGACACAGGCTTCCAGGCCTAACCATGAGCCCTGACCTAAATGGGTGGACTGAGGAGGGGCAGTCCCCCAAGGGAAGATTTGGATGCTGTCCTCAGAGGAAGGGGATGTGCATGCTGATGGACTGGAGTAGCTGCCTGTGGGTTCCGGGATCTCTGGGATGCTGGCACCTGGTTGTTACTCTCCTTGGCTTCTCACTAACATCTGAGTGACACTGACAAGCCCAAAGTCTCAGGCAGCAGCAGGAATGCAGAAGATGTGAGGAGAGGAAGCGGGGGAGGGGTCTCCTGGATGGTTGTACCTTCCCAAGACTTCAACCCATCGATTCCACAGTCAGTGTGCCCCTGCCAGCTGCCCACATGTGGATGCTCCAGGGGGACTTCCAAAAGAAGGCTGGGAAGCCCCACACTGGTGCCCCCAGAGGCCTGGAGATGTCTCTCCAGGATGCCTGGCAGAGCCAGAAGCAGCTGTGGGGCCAAATGCTGTGTAAGAACCTCATTAGGCCAGTTCTGACACTTTTTAGCCACATAGTAAAAATCTAGTTTCACCAAAAATCTGGATTTCTCACTCCTTTTGACTGTTAGAAGCTCTGAAGACACCAGAGCTGCCTCTTGCATGGTGACAGCTGGCTGGGGCTGAGCACTGGCCACCCTTGATGGGAGAGAGCTGTGCTTTCCAGCTTGCCGCAATCCCCACCTCTCCCCACTGTCATCTCAGTTACATTGTCTACCTGGCCCTCATAGGCATTTGGGTTTGCAGATCTTCCTCTAACAGTTGGCTTTGTGGGAGAGGGAGGTCCTCAGCAAGAGCCTGTGGAGGAAACACGAAGGGACAGTGTACAGTGGCACAAGGAGGTTTGAGTGAGGACCTAGAGCTCCATCTGGCAGCCCCCGACTATGTGGAATGAGGATGGAGATTTTTGTATCTACCAAACATTATTGGTTAATCTTGAGTCACTCACCTCTATTCCTTTATTGGCTCGTGACTGTCCTTTCATTTAATTCCAGTTTGGGGACCATCGTGCTTGCTGGTTCCCCTACTTCTACTAGCCTGCCCACCTCTGGCTCCTTGCCTGCTGCCCCGCCCTGTCTCAGCAGCATAGCTGTGCCTGGGCGGCTCCCTTCTGCTCTCCTACCACTGTCTGGCTGGATTTCCTTCCAGCATCCCACTGTCTTCGTTGGCCTGTTTGGATACCCACTAGCCAGTTCCCAACAGAGCGTGAGCCTTTGTGTCCCCGGCACTAGAGACTGTTAGATATTATTGTGTGTTCAGTATTCATTGAACTTGGTGAATATGGATTGAGAGCTACCCGAGTTCTCTATTGCTATGTAACAAATTACTGTAAGACTCAGTGGCTTTGAACAAGAAAGCCTTGTGATTTCTCAAAATTTCTGTAGGCTGAGGATTTAGGAGTGGCTTAGTTGGTGTTTCTGGTGTGGGGTCCCTCATGGAGGATGCAGTCAAGGTTCCCACTAGGTCTGCAGGCTTCTGAAATCTTGATGGGGGCTGGAGGACTCATTTTCGACTGGCTCCCCCATGGTGCTGGTTACCGGCAGGAGGCCTCAGTCTCCCACCCCACGTGTATTCTCTCCATGGATAGCTGGGGCATCCTTCCAGCATGATGACCAGCTGCTTAGAGCAAAGATCAGAGAGGGCATAGCGAAGCCACAGGGCCTTGGAAGTCACATTTCTGCTGTTTCTGCAATATCCTATTTGTAACCCAGGCCAACCCTATTCCTCATAGGAGGGAAGTGACAACCAGAAGGAGTTGGGGACCATCTTGGAGTGTACAAAGTAGGATATGGTTCCTTCTCTCAAGGTGCTCCTGGTCCAGGAAGGGAGTGAGGGATGGAGGTAAATGGAAACAACCATGAAATAAAGCAGGCTGGGGTAAGAGGAGAACTGTGGGTCCCAAAGTGAGCTGGCTACAGAGACATGAATTCCAGTCTTAAGCAGATGGCCCCATGTGCAGGCCAATGTTTTATATTCTTCACATATAATAATTAACCCATTTAATTCTGAAAACAGCCTCGTTGGGGTGTGCAGAAGGCAGAATTCTAAGATGGTCCCTAAGATTACCACCGCCTAGTGGGCACACACTGAATCACCCTCTTCTTGGGTATGGGTACATCTAAACTAACCAGAGAGGGTGTGAAGATCAGAAGTAGAAGAGATCCGAAAACCTGGAAGTGCAGTTGTTGCTCTCCTGTTGCTTTGAAGGAGCAAAGAAGCCTGTTGGTGGAAATGGCGGGTGGCCTCAGAAAGCCGGGGCAGCCCCCCTCTGATGGTCAGCAAGAAGATGAGGACTTCGTTCTCACAGCTGCAGCTGAGCAGGTTGTTCTAATAGTCAGGGAGCATACAAGGTGACCTTGAGCTCTGGGAAGGCATGTGGCCTGGCTAACCTCTGATTTTAGCCTTGTTGTATCCTGAGCAGAGAATGCAAATAAGCTGGGCGCAGACACCTGAACTTCAGGAGCTGAGAGGTCATGGGTGATGCTGTGTGTGGCTGGATTTGTGGTAGCATGTCATGCAACACAGGGAACTAAACACACAGCTGCCATGTTCACCTCTGAGAACGGAGACCCAGAAAGTGGAGGGACATGCATTGAGGCCACACAGCTAGTTAGGGCAAGCTAGCCCTCAGGCCAAAGCACTGGCATGGGAGTTGGATTGAAGAGGCTCCTAGTGAAGATGCCTCCAGGTTGGAGCAGGGACCCTTCACTCAGGCCTGTTATGTGGTAACGACTAGGTTCACTGCTGTTTATTTTTCAGTTAAAAGGTGGAACCAATGTAGATTGATGATGCCTTCATTGTGCAGGTGGGGAAGTGAGGCCCAGAGAGAAGGACAGGCTTGTCAAGGGTCCTGCTGTGAGCCCAAATCTGGGGCATGTGTCCACACCCCTCAAGACTATTGTTTTGCAGCTCTAACACCAGCAAGAAAGGGAGACCTGGGGCAGAAGGAGTGGGTAGGGATGACTGTCTCAGGCAGAGGCTGCCACACTGGCTCCCAGTGAGGCCAGAACCCTCAGACAGGCATGAGGTGGCCTGGGCTGCTGGCCTGATCTCACAGGGAGCGCTGTGCTACCTGGCAGCACCTGGCAGGTCATCCACCTTGAAGCAGATGAAGAAAGCACCAATTCTGTGGTCTTCCTTCCAACAACTTTGGACATTTGGAGCAGATTGTAAGAAGTTTTTTCTTGTTTGTGATTCTTAAAAAGTTTCTCTGGCAGAGAGATTTCCATTGTTCATCCTACAGATAAAGAGCTGTGTGGTTCAGAGGATACGCTGGTTTCTATGACAAGTTACAAGTCACCACTTTGTGGCTTAAAATGGCACCCATTTATTATCTCAGAGGCCTGGGCATGGTTCAGTTGGGTCCTCTGCTGCAGTCCTACAAGGCCCGCATCGAAATGTGGACTGGGCCATGCTCTCATTTGCAGGCCCGACTGGGAAGGTTGTAATCCCAAACTCCCTCAAATTGTGGGCAGAGGTTGCAGTTCTGAGGCATGGGGTTCACAGCAGCTTGCTTCTTAAAGGTCAGCAGCAGAGACAGAAGGTCTTTGCAGCCTCAGGTCTCTGATCTCTAAACCCATTGCTGAAGGGCTCCCCAGAGTAGGCAAAGCCCTCCCAGGGACTTTA